AGAAGCTTCTCCCCTTTCTGGGAGCAGGAGTAATTCCAGAAAACACAGGCGCACGGGAGCGCCGCCGCGGCCCCGCTCACCCGCCGGGCCCGGCAGGGGGCGCCGCCCGGTCGCCTGGCGGCGGCGTTTGGCCCATCGCGGCCGCCTTAGCCCTCCGCACGCCGGCCCCGGCCCCGGCCCCGGCCCGCCGCGGCTCCTCAGGGGCTGCCCGAGCTCGGGGCTCCGCCGGCCGCGCCCGCCGGGCCGGGCCGGGCCGCTGCCATGTTCACCAGCACCGGCTCCAACGGCTTCTGTGAGTACCGGCCCGCCGCGCTCCGGGAGGGCGGCGGCCAGGGGTGGGGGCGCGGGTGGCGCTGCCGCCGTCGGCCCCGGGGGAACCGCTGGCTTCGGTCCTCTCTTGGCTGGACTTTTAAATTGTGTGACGGCGGGAGGAGCCGCGGGTGTGTCTGTGTGTGTGTCTGCCTGTGTAGGTGTGTGCATGTCCGTGTGTGTCTGTGTCTCTCTGTGTGTTTATATGTATTTGCATACATCTATATAGACCTCCATGCCAAGATACGTATCAAAAAAAAAGAAAAAAACCCCCCTATTTTCTTAATTTGAAGTTAGACTTATTTTTAAAACCAGTTTATTGACAAGGCAAACGTAAGGACTAACGTGCCCGTAGCTCTGCTTAGCTTTATTTTTATGCACAGCATAATTATAATGTAAATAATTTCATGTCCCGGTGCTACCTGAACTGACTTCACAGGTATCTGGGGCTGGCTCTGAACTTGTTTTACAGGACACAGACTCTGCAGCGTCTGGAAGCAGCAGTGAGGAGCTGACCTGGCTGCAGTGTGGACTTGGGCACCACACACAGTCCTAAGAGAGGCGAGGACAAATGATAAGTCAAAGCTTTGCTGACTGCGTGCTCCTTACAGAATGTGTGCTGAAGGGCAGGAGGGCTCTGCAGAGGCATCTGAACAGGCTGGATCAATGGGCTGAGACCCAGCAGTATGAGGGTCAAAAAGGTCAAGTGCCAGGTCCTGCACTTGGGTTGCAACCAGCCCAGGCAGCACTACAGATCTGGAGAAGAGTGGCTGGAAAACTGCCCAGAGGAAAACAATCTGGTGCTGGTTGACAGCCAGCTGAACATGAGTCAGGGTGGCCAGGAAGGCCCATGGCATCCTGGCCTGTATCAGCAATAGTGTGGTCAGCAGGAGCAGGGCTGCAATTGTCCCTCTCTACTCAGCACTGGTGAGGTCACATCTCAGGTACTGTCTCCAGTTCTGTGCCCCTCAATTTGGGAAGGACATTTGGGTGCTGCAGCATGTCCAGAGAAGGGCAGTGGAGCTGACGAAGCATCTGGAATGCATGTCCTTTGAGGAGTGGGTGAGGGAGCTGGCGTTGTTTTGGCTGGAGAAAAGGAGGTTCAGGGGTGATCTTATCACTCTTTACAAGTAACTGGACGGAAGCAAAGTGAGGGTGGCCTTCTTCTCGCAGGTAACCAGAGACAGGACAAGACCAGAGGACTTAGCCTCAAGCTGTACCAGAGGAGGTTCAGGTTGGGCATTGGGAGGAATTTCTTCACAGAAAGGATAATTAGATATTGGAATGGGCTTCCCGAGGAGGTGGTAGAGTCACCATCCCTGGAGGTATTTTTAAGAAAAGACTGAAATGTGGCACTCAGTGCCATGGTCTTGTCGACAGGATAGTGTTTGGTCACAGGTTGGACATGATGATCTCAGAGGTCTTTTCTAACTTAATTGATTCTGTGGTTCTGTTTGAGTGTGAAAGCACCCTCTGACTAGGGGAGGAAGATTTCTGGCATTTAAAAAGGGGTGTTAGTTGTAGCTGTATTTTTTATGAGGAATCCAAAGAAGGGAAGAGTCTTTTTCAGATGGATCTGATAATACTGTGCCTTGATTTTCAGCTCCTGATTTTTTATCTCTCTCTGTGCCCCCCAATAGATACTATAGAGGGACTTTTCAATGGCATACGTCTGTGTATAATTTTATGAGAAAGAATGTAGGAGGAAGAGTATCCTTGTTAGACTGAATGGATGGAGAGTCATGGTCAGTATTTACAAGTTTTTCCAGGTTTGATCCATCAGAAAGATGAGTGGGAAATGGTTGTCATAAGAAGCATATATGTGGTAGGGAAAAAAAAAAAAAAAAATCATTCTGCAGAAAGAAAATCATAGAATATCCTGATCTGGAAAAGACCCACAAGGATTATCAAGTCCATCTTCTAGCCCTGCACAGGAGAGCTCAAGAATCACACCATGTGCCTGAGAGCATTGTCCAAATGCTTCTTGAACTCTGTCAGGCTGGTGCTGTGATCACTGCCCTGGGGAGCCTGTTCCAGTGTGTGGTCACTTTCTAGGCAAAGAACCTTTCTAACCTAAACCTTCCCTGACACAGCTCCATACTCAGTGTTGTGCTTTTTTTTTTTGTCTTCTCAAAACCAAATACAACATATGTTCTTACTGAACTTACCTGTTGACCTAAAGTGGGTTTTTACAATAAGATTTGGCTGGTATGGGTGCACTGACAAACTCCAGTAGAGGCATGGATTTAGGTGCAGTGACATATGCTCACCTAGGACACAACTGTGGCAGTTTCAGGTGTCCCTGTGCCCTCAGACTTGTGTGTGTGCAGCAAAAGTTGCTGCAGTAGCAGCAGGAGTGTGGGATTCTGTCACTGATGCACAGAATCTGATCGTTCAGGTAGTTAATGAATTGGTGCCTGATGTTGCAGCAGAGAACTGTATGTGTGTGTTCTTCCCCTGGGGCTTGGGAACCTCTGGCAGAAGGCAGTGTCAGTGGATGATGGGACCTGTATCAGTGACCCTGAGTGAAATAAGTGGACATCTGGTTCAGCAGCAATAGCAATGATCATGCCCGGGCACACTGAAGGCTCCTGCAGCCTGCTGTGCCACCTCTGACAGACCGATTAACATCTATAACGTTGGAACGAGGAGATGCAAAAGTAAAAATAAACATACCTGGTACATGGTATGACTGTGAGATAGGGAAGCCAGGAAACAAAGGACACCACCTTCTTAAAGGACAAAGACAGTTTGCCTCTGCTGTGGAAATTGTTTCTGTTATCTGGAATATTGGAGGAGCTGGTATGCTCTGGAAAAAAGAGCCAGTGGCTCTGGGTACTAGTAGGAGACACAGTGCAGACATATGCAAATGGATTATCAGAACACTAACCCAGCTGAGCTGGATCGCAATGTGCTCAGGGGCATCCTGGCAGCACCTTTGGGTGTGCTTGAGAGGTGGGCTGTGGTGCCCGACCCAGGCTGGTTGCTTGTGTTGGTGGCTTTGGTCCCATGTACAATGCTGCTGAAACACTTGAGCAGTTCTGCAAGGGCTCACATGAGTGTGTGAATAGCCTGGCTGTTTGCTTTACTGTAGTGCTGCTTAGTTTGCCAAGAGGCTGTGTCCCAGGAGCAAAGTATGATACACAAGAAGGCTTTCCATTATAAGGCACAAAGGCCTTACCAACAGTTTAAACCAGATGGACCAACACGAAACCTTTCTGCAGACATTGTAATATCCCCTCCCAATAGTCTTCATGCTGTTTATGTACTGCACAGGAGTCTAGTAGGAAAGTCTCTTAAGAGTTAGTCATTATTAAGGTAACATTTGAGTCCATCTTTTAAAGCATATACATTTGTTACATCTGGAAAATATTTGACTACTTTGACTACTACACACAAGCTATTTCTTGTAGTAGGAGTGAGGAGAGCCCTTTGAACTTGCTAGTGCAACCTAGGCTTTTACCTCAGTGAACCTTGTAGTGCAGTGCTAGCAATTTGTTAAAAATCCCCAAGGCAAGGAGGGATCTCTGTATTGCTCTGCTTGCATAACTGGCAGGAATGAACTCTGTTGTGCAGAGGCGTCAGGAAAATAATAAAGCTATGTAAATTAATGCTTTGTGGTATGACTGAAGGAAAAATGAAATGTACTGAATACATAAGACTTGTGTATAACAGTATTATGCAGTACAGTACTGTATGGGAAAGCAAATTAGCTTGTACATCAGCATGCCACTGTGCAGCCTGCTTAGTGTGAGCCCTGGAAGCAGCACAGCAATGAAGGCCACAAAACTGTGGCTATTCTGCTTCTGCTGAACTAGCTCAATTCATTTCAAGCTTGTGTGGGGAACTCCACATGGTCTTGTGGTGTAGCCATACCTGATATTTCTGACAGTGTATACTAAAAGTAGTATGGTAACATCTCTGGTTGGAAGAAAGAAAAGTTTGATATTTTTTATATTTTCAACCTAATTCAGTTTCAAGTATTGCTTTTAGAAACAAAGGTTTTCTTTTTTTTTTTTCTTTTTTCTTTTTGTGTCTCCTTTTTTTTTTTTTTTTAATAGTTTGTGACCTAGGCTACACCTAGCAGTCTTCTAAACAGTAAATGTACAGGCAAGTGGTTTGATTACAGTCTTGCCTATGCCTTTAAAAAATAGATTTTAACCATGATCACAGGTTTCTCTATTAGCTTTCTTGGTACTAATGTTCACCTCTCAGCTTCTGGATTGAATTTAGAAGCATTTGGTGAAAAACTGTTCCTGCAGTGATACTCTTACTGTTTTCACTTGCAAACAAACATCACTGCTGATTGGTTAGCCTGCCACAGGTTCTTAGACAGGTCTTGGAATACAATAGATTGATATCTCCATGATGGTTTAATGCAGGAAAAATAACCACTCAAAATGCAGATTCTGTAGGTGCATTTGGGAAGTAATGTGCATTCAGATGTGTATCAGTTATGGTTTAATTCACAGATCTTGTGTATAAGCATTTAAAAACTGGTTTGTGGGCATTTTTTGCCATTATAGTAGCCCCCAGCAGTTAATGATCTGTTTGAAAGTGATGTGCCTGCCTTATAGCAGCTGGGTTTGGGAAAGTTGTGGGTGATAGTGGAAAAAAAGAGTTGTTACACAGCATGTTTTTTTTTGCAGCTGTGGTGTAAGCTCAGTAGGGATCCCCACAGAAATTGCCCTGAGCTAATTTGAACTTCTGCAGCCACTGCTCATCAGTTGGCCCATCACTTCACATCAACCAGCAATGAGATCCTCTCCCAAGTCAACACTTGAGTCCTGAGCCTGGAGAGGTTGAAGTTGTTCCTGCAAGAGTGCTTCTACAACAGTAGTTTGGTCTGGCTGCCTGTTTTGCTATGCCCATCTGCTGTCTCTTCATCTGTGAGTAGTGAACAGGCAGGGACAGGAAATAATTTCAAAAACTGTAGCTGTTGCCTTATCTTCTCATTCTTGGCATTTAGTGCAGTGGTGATATCTGAAGCTGCAACTCGGGCAGTTGTGCCATAAACCTCCCCCTCTGTTTGTGACAGATGAACACTTGTATCCTTCACTCTCTGTACTGTAAAAGAGGCAGTGGCAACCAGCAGAGTAGTAGGTTGTGAGAAGAGGATCTGTGGGCTTTGTAATAGGTGCAGGGGTAGAATGTGGATGCTTAGAAGTGGTTTTTTTCTCATTTATGTCACATTTTAGGATCAGCTTGGCATTGCACAGTTGGTAGCATACAGGTTGGGACACTTGCCCATGAGATTATGAGGGCGGTTTTGGGGGAGAACTCCATTGCACCAGGAAGAAGCAAAGATCTGTAGTGGAACCTAATTCCTTGCTCTTCATCATACCGTGGGCATATTCTGGTGGTTATTAACAAAATTTCTCTGTGTACTTAGGTGGAAGCTCAGTAGATGTGGTACAGCACCAGTGCTATAACTGCATGTTGTTTGAAAGAAATGCCACTTAAGGAGCACTCTGGGATTGCAAATTTACTCCAAGATCTTTGAAGACAGTATTTGATACATTTTAACTTTCAAGGTCAAAATGAGTATTTATCCTTTCATTCTTCTTTCTCTATGTGGTATAAGGATACTGTGTTTTCTCCTTGTGGTGAATATTTGCATTGGTATTGCCAGCAGACTGGTGCCCTGGTAGGTTTGCGGTAACTATTTCCATCTCTTACATGATTGCACATTCACTGGATTAGAATTCTGCTTTCTAAATTTTACCTTTGCATTGTAAGTAAGGAATTTGACTTGGATGTCAGAATGCCTGATTATGCGAAATCTGGCATTGTTTGTCAATTTTGGTCTGACATGGTTGAAACATTCCACAGTTCTGGGAAGGTTGCTCCGTCCCTGTGACTTCACAATAGTCCTTGAGAAAGATCTATATGCTGTTGAGGGATAAAGCAAACTGCTACACTGTGCAGTGAAACACTTGGAAAAAAATTTCAGAGGATGCATTATTATATTTTTCAAGTTCACCAGACAAGAATAAACTTCTCAACCATAATGACATTATGAGAAGCTGGAGAGTAAAAATTTCCATCACTCACATGATGTTCCCTGTGGGTGACAGTCAGATTCATGGGTTAGGTGCTTCTGTGGTTTTTCACTTGATTACATGTCTAATAATAAGTATTTTTTTCCTGTGTCAGGGTTTAAAGTGTCTAAGCTGAAAGCTAAAAGGAGGCTCTTAATAAAAATGTGTGTTCACACTTTTGGAGAAAACAGATAAGGCCCTGTTGGTTGGTTATTTTTGAAAGCATTCAAATTAGGAATTAATTTGACAGGATGAAATACTTCAGTGTATATTACTTGTAAAAATTATCTAATAAGAAAAAATTGCAGCAAAAGCTACATATTAAACCTATATAGAAAAATATAGTCACAGTGGGATATTGAGATTTTGTTCTCATGGGTGTCTGTGATAATGTGATCCTTATGTAAAATGTTTCATAGGATTAATTAGTTAATTTGAAAATTTCTTTAAATTCATGAAATAACGTAAATGCATTTGATAGTAAAATAACAATTTTTATCAAACTTTGGCTTAGAAATGTTTACTGTTGTGACTATTACAATTCTTCTGAATTAGGCTGTATTTCCAAGTATCAAAAATATGTATCCTGATTATAAAATTGACTTTTCCAAATTAAGAAATGTTAATTTAACTAAGTTAATACAGGCAGTATTGCTTGAGGTTTCAAATGAATATCTATGTGCATTGTCTGTGTAGCAGCTTTCAGGAAGCTCCAGCTTCTTTTTTCTCCCCAGTGTTGTACAGTACTCTGATGTCTTCAAATGGTTTTGAAAAGCCCAACTGAATTAGACGCATGAATAATTGGAAAAAAAAAAAGTATGTCTAAAGAATATAAACTTTATTTTTGGAGAGGAAAAGAAAACAAAACCCAAAGAAAGGTACTAGATTTAAATATGGACAGTTTTCTTGCATTAATAAAAAGAATCAGCCAGTATTTCTGCCTTAGCATAGTAACATCCACCTGTGTCAATCCAAGTCACTGCCTAATTTCTATAGAATGTTCTTCAAGGCCATACTTGCTTAAATGGAAAATGCATGCTTAAATAATGAACTCAAAAGGTATGGGTGTGGACTGAATTAATAGTTTTAAGTACAAGTTTTCATTATGATACACATAGAGATGTTTTCTTCCCATGGTGAACATCAGAAGACTGCAGACTTCAAGGTGGTGAACAGCTAACAGTGCCCATCAGAGTCGTTCTTGATGTCATCAGTTAATACTTGGATGATGGTAATGCTTGATCTATGTAGCAAGAGCCATATTGCTGTAATTAAAAAATTAAAATCTTCTCTTTGGTGCCTATTGCCATCTGCTTTTTCTAGCAGTTCACTGTTCTAGTGTGCAGCAGATGTTGAAAAAATCATTCATGGTATTCACTTTAATCTGGACAGGTAGTAAATGTTTATTGTATTACACTGTTTCATGCAGTTTTTTTCCTGCTGTGTTCCTGTTCTTTACTCCCCATTAGTACTTTTAAAGTAATCTCATTGCTCCTTTAATTATATTAAGAAGAATGATAACAGAACTATGGATTTTTGTAGTACCCTGCAAAAACAGTTGTCTGAAAATTAATGGATTCTGTGCCATAGCTGAGATGTTTGGAGAGGAAGTAAACGTGATTCAGGCTGCATTTGTGAAAAGGAGAAAAGTCATAGAATAAATAATATTTCAGAGTCTCTCTCTGTGTTGGCTTGAGTTGTTGGGCAAGAATTTGTGTTTTATTGCATCCATTGCACCAACAGGTTAAGGCTGAATTGCTGGCTATGCTCCTGCTAGATATTCTCCTGGCAAATTTTAGTAAATGTGAAATGTATATTGCAGATTTCACTGTTCTTTGCCTGCTTTATTCTGAGTGTCCTTTCTGAAAGTCATGCCCCTAGAGGGAAAGAAGTTCTGATTTCACCAACATCCTGATTCTAGTAATTTCTTTATAAATAATTGTAATAATTGAATAGAAGGAAGATGAGTATCATGCAAATATATTTCCTTGAATGGTGGATCTAAGTGCAGTGGTGAGAAAGTCCATTTATTCAGGTGGTTTCTGCTTCATAGTCTCTAAGGAAAAACTAATCTTAATCCCTAGTGCAAAGGAAACAGAAGTATTTAACTAGATGTGCATGTATATTTTGCTAGGAAAAAAAGTGATTATTTTATTTCCTGAAATGTGGTTGAGCCATAGGAGGGCAGTATAGGAGGACATGACGTCAGTAGGTGCAAAGAACTTAGGTTTAATTGTAGCCAATTTCACAAGACAATGTTGGAAACAAAATGTCTGGTTAATATTTAACTGACATTAATATCTCTAAATATTTCCTTCGATTAATGTATTCATCCTATCTATTCTTGAGTTTTTGAGAACTTGGGAAGTTGTTGAGTTTAAAAGTCAAGGTGGTGTCACTGCTATTATGTCTTCCAGTCACCTGTTTAAATATGTCACTTTTTGAATGTGGAAGGCTTGTCTCTAAAATGGTTTGATTGTTTATTTGTTTTGTCTTTAAGATAAAGCGCCTTTGTCAAAGAGTTTGTTACTTGTCCCAAGTGCCATCTCGATTCTATTGACTCTGCTCTTCCAACATTATCAGAAGTTCTTTGCATATAACCTGCAAGCTGTAAAAGAGGATTTTCAGGTAAGCGTCTGTTCACTTTGTGTGAAAAGAGACTGCAGACTCTGGTTTTCTGTGCAATTTTCCCCCACAGTTTATCCTCTGGTTCTTTCCCTTTGTTCGCTGCTGTAGACCAGCTTGTTCTTACCATTTTTATGTCACCCCAGCATGCTACTTTTTGGAAAACATGAGAAAAACTGATCTGAAACAATCGATATAGCTTTTAATTTTTTTTCTTGTCTGCAAAATTACTTCATTTGTGTTGTTTTTCCTTTCAGGCATTGGCATTTGTAAACTTGCTATGAATGAAGTGTGACATAACCCAATTAATAATACAAGTATTTTGATATGAATATCAGTATCTTATTGTGCCTAATTTTTGAGGCTGAAGAAAGCTACTTTGATTAGGCATGCTGATTATAAATTATTTATTTTAACAATGGAGGCCATAATTTTCATTCTCTAGTTAACTGTTGTAGTTAGTTGTGGAAAACTAAACTTTGCTAAAATAGAACTGCTGCTTCTAAATTGAAAATTCCAGATGATGGAGGAGTTTGTCACGCTCTTCACTAATCAGCTGAATTGGTTAATTTCATAGTCATTCCTATTTCAAACTAAGATACTCTAGGTATTGTATCTTGTAGCATTTTATTTTAATTTAATTAAGGACCCTATCAGCTATAGAGTATCAGCTCTAAATGTTGAAATAATGCACTTAAAAGTGATTAGATTAGTTGTGTGGATATTTGTTTTGGGATGTTTTTAATTTTTGGAAGTGGCAAACTACTGCTCAATAGAGAAAGGTCAGCAAATGCCTCTGTGTTTATCTTACCCCACACATTTTACAATTGCATCAAACAAAAGGCATGTAGTCAAATTAATGTCTTTGAGGCTGCCAACTGTAGCCCGTAAACTTTAAAATATTATTAGACCTAGCTAGTGATGGTCTGTGCTGTTGTACTCTCTGTAATCTTTCTTGTCAAAACCAAGAGCTTTATTGTAATAATAAATTACAACTCTGCAAGAGCACTACTCATATTTTCCAAGTGTCTTGCTGATGCTGTGCAGTGAAAATACATAAATGATGTCTGCCTTTTAAAAATGTTACAGCCAAGTGTTTGAGGAGGGGAATGAAAAAGTCTGAGAAAGTATTCAAGTTTTAAATGGAAATTGTGTGGGTATGGGATTTATTTCTTTGTTTTTAGATTTGTCTTCAGAGGAATCCTCTCTTTCCATATGTTTGATCTGCTGAAAAACAGCAGTAGCTGCATATTATTCAAAAAAAGCACCTCTACTGCGTCTTAACCATAAACACTTGCAAGTATATGTAAAAGTTATGACACTTTTATTGTGGTGCTTTGGGAATTTGTGAGTTTGGATTTTTTATTTCATGATATTGTTCCACAGCCTTTGGAGCAAGCTATGTACTATATCACTGAGTACCTCTGAGATCAAGCGAGACCAGATTGTTTAACTTTTCTCTGGTACTAATATTCAAATGAGAACTCTTAAAATAAAATTTGTTTAGAATAAATTCACCTGCAAGGATGTGTTTAATGTAAAGGAATGTTTTCAGGCAATGAACAAACATTTTGGATGTTGAATTTTAACACTTCTTAAAGCTGGTAGAGTGCACACAAATTAAAGTGAACAGTTGAAGAATACATTTGATTTGGAAGGCAAAACACCTGCTGTCCAAAACTAAGTTGTCTCCATACAGAGGGTCCTCAAGAGCAGTGAAAATGCTGTGTAAAAGATCTTCATGACATCATATCTGTGTATATTTTAAGGTGGCTGAAGCAAAGAGCAGTAAGGCTGGCTAGATGTTGTATAGCGGTCTCCTCTTGCGACAGCCTGAGTGGTGGCGTGCTGGGCGGCGAGGGAAGAGAATGGGTGCGTCCGTCCCCCTGCAAGCTCTGCAATCCCAGTTATCGGTGCGGGGACAGATGGAGGAGACAGGGGCTTGGGGTGTAACAGCATGGATTTATTCAGTGAGCCCCAAGACTCTCTTAGGAGAGCAAACAAAGGTTTTATACAGGAACTCAGGAGGAGGGGTGTAGAAACAGCAACCAATGAGGGTAGAGCTGGCGAGGAGTCTGAGGTGGGACTAACATATAACAAACCTATCAGGGGAAACAGGGGAGTGGAGTAACACTAAGTAACCAATAGGGTGTTGAGTGTCACTAAATGGACAGGGAACACTCTGGAAGAAGGGGAGGGGACTAGAAGGAGTGACAGGGAATGTTCTAGGGAAAAGGGGCAGGGAAAGGGAGGATTGACAACTTGGAGGGAAGGGGTTAGGGAAGAGCTTTGGAAGATTGACAATTGGGGAGGGGAGGAGACCAGGGAAGAGGGAAAAGAACAGACACTGAACAAGCATCAATTTAAAGAAAAAACACCCCAGAACAGCTAGAAGCCTTTCATAATCTGTGTGAGAGCTGCTCAGTTAGTGCGTGTCATGAAATATGCAGCTGCAAGGTCATAGCCCTGCCAGTCTTGACTTCAGGAGGGGTGGTACTCAGCCTAGGATTTAAAAGTTGGCATGTTGACATGGGATAGTGAGAATGGTGAGTGAAGTGGATTGGGGCCAATGCTGTTTAGTGTCTTCATTCATAACTTGGACAGTAGGACATAACGTTCTCTCAACAATTCTGTGGGTGATATAAAACTTGGATTTGTAGTTGTTACACCTGTTAGTTCTGCAGCCATTTAGAGAGAGAAAAGGGTCAGTAGGGACCTTGGTTCAGCAAAGGCTGAATACAAACTCCTGCATCAGAGAGGAGTAACGCCTTGCACCAGTACAGGCTGTGGGCTGAGCAGCTCGAAATCACTTTACAGGAAAAGCCTTGAGGGTCCTGGTGTAGGCTTAAACTGGACGTTAAGCAGCAATGAGCATTGTGGCTAAGAAGCCAAACAGCATCCTGGGCTGCATTAGGTAGGAAGAGCCTCACAGGGAGGCCTGGATGGTGATTATCTCTACTCTCAGTGAGAGCAGTCTGAAGTGTTGTCCCCTGTGCTAGGCTCCCGAGTCAAAATTGACCTTGGCATGTTGCAGAGTCCAGTGGAGGGCCACCAGGCTGGTCAGGGGCTGGAGCACTTGGTGTGTGAGGAGAGGTAGAGAGCTGGGAGTGTTTAATCTGGGGAGGAGAAGGTTTAGGGTAGATCTTACCAGTGCATGTAAATACCTAATGGGAGGAAGCCAGGCCCAGTGAAGGGACAGGAGGCAATGGGCAAGAATCGAAATACAAGAAATCCCATTTAAAGGTTTTTAGTGTAAGACTGATAGAACAGAGGAGCAGTTTCCATCCTTAGAGATATTCAGGACTCAGCTTGACATGGCCCTGAGCAAGCTGATCTGATTAGGCCTTCTTAGAACAGTTACACTAGTACTAGTTGTACTAGTTTGTATCTAGAGGTTGCTTCAAAAATTTTTTTTTTATAATTCTAAATTCACTAGGGTTGTGATTTACATTTTTATTTCTAAGTGTAGACTAGGAACCTCAAAGTGTATTTTGAGTTCATTTCAGTTGTTTATTTATTTTAGCAGTTAGACATGTGCTTTGAAAGTATTTTAAAGAGACTCTTCATAACATTCTACTCTCTGTATTTCCCTCCTTAACTGTGCTGCAATTCTCTTACCTGACTCCAGTATTGAATTGTCTCTGGGCACAAATTCTGTAAAGAATTTTCTTGAAGGACAAGTGGCTTAACATGATGATATTAACCTTCCAGATTTGGAGACTTGTATGTGGAAGAACAATATGTCTTGATTTGAAAGACACATTCTGCAGCAGTCTGCTCATTTACAACTTCCGAATATTTGAAAGAAGATATGGCAGCAGAAAATTTTCAGTAAGTTCCAGTTTTGAGGGGTTTTTAATATAAACTTTTCTATACAGTGCAGTCATGTACTCTTGGATGAATACTGTTTTATTTCTTATATGTTGTATAGAAATATAGGTTAAATGGTTTTAAAGATAATTTGATTTTAATGAATTAAAATTTATATTGATAATACCTTGCAGTCAGTGGATTATTCTAATTTCTATTTGCAGTTGTATCAGTTGTAAGATATCAGACCCATCGAGTTTAATTTTGGAAACAATTGGACTCTTGATTCTTCAGTATCTAGACAAGTAGGCCTCGAATTACGTTATGTTAAAGATTGCATTTGTCTTAATTGAAGTAGTATAGAGGTTTTCTCATTTTTTCTTATATTTAAAGGTATTTTAAAACTTTTTTTTGAAACTGCTGAATTGATTCAAATTAAGCTTTTTCTTTCCAGTCTTTTTTACTGGGCGCTTGGATGCTCTCAGCTTTGTTTGATCTTCTCCTTGTAGAAATCACTCAGTACATGTTTGGCATCACCATCAACAGCTTGCCTTCTGGTTTGTAAGTAGCTTCTAATGAATTTGTTATTTTAGATACAGTATCAAGAGATTGTTTTCTGAAGATTTTATTTTAAAAAACCTTTCTTCATGTAACACTTCAAATTAATTTAATCCTCTTTTGAACTGAAGTGTAAAGGTTCTTGGTACAACTACTGTAATTTCAAACATTTATTTCTTAGCTATGATTTGTGTTTAATTTATAATTTATCCATCAGATTATTAGTTTCCAATCCATTAGCCTCATGTCCTCTGTTAACATGATTGCAGCATGGCTTGCAGCACACGAATTATTGCTGTATTTGTTCAGTCTAAATTGTTCGGATCCATTCAATTTGTAAAAAGTGGAATCAGGTTGTGCTGATTTCTGTCTTAAATCAGAAAGGCAACAGAACTGTAAGTCATGTGCTTTATGTTCACTTTTAAATGCATATGCATTTCACACTGGTGTTTTGTATGTTTTTCAAAAATTGAGTGCCAGAGCTTGTTACTCCATTTCGTACAAGCAGCTGAAATTCTCACAGCTTTAAGGTGTTCAGTGGTACAGTTTTGCATAGCCTATGTTTGAGAATTCTGCACTTAATAAACAATGTGCATATTACCATAGAACCAGAGAGCTTGCAACCCTTTATGGCTAAGCTTCTGGCAGGTGAGATTACACAGACTTGAGTTTCCATGTGTTTCACACTCTGAGGTAATAGTAAAAGCTCTTGGAGTAAAATTGTTAATATTAAACACCATATTAGACCTTTTTTTTTATTTCTGCTTTTCCACAGCATCTGTTGAAAGTATCTAAAGACTGATTTATAAGGGACAAAAAGCACGTGTTTGATATTATAAAAATACTTTTTTTGTAGTGTGTGAGTATTCAAAAGAAGTTGAAAGCTTGAGTAGCTACTGCAGTTACTCATGTTTGTTACCTAGAGTTTGTTGCCAGGACATAGGCTGCTAATGTGTCTGGAGAAATTAATATTTTCCTATATGTAAAAAGATACTTTGTGCAAAAGTAAGGTGTCATAAATGAGCACATCATACCCACAGGTAGGTAATGAACAGTTTGACCATTTTTCTCTTTGATGGTACTTAGATGACTGCAGAATGTAGTCAGTTACAAAGGAATCTGCATCAAAGAAGTTTTTAATTAAGTAAAATACAAATTTTACTTACATATGCCTTCTCATTAAGTCATAATTAATTTGATATTGAGAGAATGAAATTAATTTTAGAAATGTGGGATATACAGTAATTTCAGGAACATTTGATTATGCAAATATAAAAATTAATATATGTAATGCATCATAATTCTTCTGTGTTGTTTATTAATATTATATTAATAGTCTGCTTCACATATGACAGTATTCACAATCATTTGAGGTGATAAAAGCATTGGAAATTTTAACACTGATACTATGTTTTAGTTCATTTCAGGTGAAACAACAAAAGATGTTGAGCAAATAAAAATAGGTGCAATTATTATTCTGCTTTTGTCATATTTACAGTGCAACAAATATATCTGTTACCTTTGGTTATAGAGCATCCTTCTGTGTAGCTAAGTGCTAGAATTTAGAAAAGAATCCCTTGTTTACATTGCGAAAGTCTCCTGACATTTTTTCTCTTTTTATATCATTTCACTGTTCATATTATTAAGTGATCTTACACTTCCAGTTCGAAAACTTTTTCTGCGCACGCTTCGAAGGTAATTGCGATAAAGGATTACACTGATGACTCTTGCCTGGAATTGTTTGGAAACAATGTAGTACAGTATAACATCCAAGCATGTACTGAGATTCATGAGAAAGGTGGTAAAGGCTGCCCAGGGATTGTAACTTATATTTTCATCTTGCAACATCAGGAAGGCAAAGCAAATGTGGAAGGGTACAAAGCAGATGAGTACCTGAGCAATCAGAGTAACTATAATTCTTATGGATCTCTCCTTGGCCTTAGGCTTCAGTTTTGAAGTCTTGCCGTGAATAAAATTATAAATAATGACTAGGTAACACCCCATCATGATAAACAATGGAATCAAAAAGAAAAAAATCAAGCGACAAAAATTCAGTGTATTTACTTCCTTTAAGTGGATGATATCAAGCATTTTCATGCAGGTGGTGAAATTTGAGGCTTGATCTGGATCAGACCGTAAAAACACCAATGGGGATGTTGTTGAGAGGGTCATTATCCAGATTCCAGTGCAAGCCAGCACAGCTTTTTTTGTATTTTTTAGTTCTTTGACATGTTTGGGCTGGACAATAGCCATAAATCTGTCTACGCTGATAAAAGCAAGCAGCCACAGAGCAATGGCTGGATAAAACACAGTGAAAGCCCCGAGGATCCGGCAGAATGTATCTCCAAAAGGCCACGTTTCTGTCCCGTGGTAGATTATCCGAAAAGGCAAGGAAAATATAAAGAACAGGTCAAGTAATGCGACATTCATCATATATACAGTTATAGTTGTTCTCTTCTTGGTAGTGCAGCTGAACACCCATAATGCAGTGGCATTCACCAGCAATCCCACTGTGAACACAAAGCTGTAGAAGACCAGTGATGCAATCCTGTATTCTTCTGGGTGGGAATTTTCTGGTGTCATAGTTTAATTAAATTTAAGAGTAGTTGTTGCACTCCATAAATCCCCTAAAATTAGATAAAATATGGGAAGTTATTCTCAGTCAGATAAAATCTGTCTTTTACAACAAAAAGGAAGATTGTTTTAGGATGGTGTTTAGTGATGAAACTGTTGTTTAGCTCTGAAATGTCCTAGTTTTGTTGTTTTTTCTGACTGCAAATACATTATCATCCTCTGAGGGAAACATATATATTGTCAGACTTGTGAAAATAGTATTTATAAGCATGTTTTAATAAAATATTTTAACCACTTACAGGACCTTTTAATATAAAGAATCAAAAAGTCAAGATTGGCATTTCAGGTGTGCATCAGTAGCTGATAATTAGGTTGGAATAGTTGTATTTGAGCTACGACAGCTACTTTCTAAAGAAAATATTTCTTCAAGCTGTCTCTGTTAAAAAAAATTCTGACTAAAACTAGCTATGAATAAAAACAAGTCAGCATGGTATATAGTGACATTTGGATATGCAAAGAGTATTGACTTTGCCTTTTACCTGTGTAGGACCTACTTAACTCCCAAAAGAACAGGTGCTTGCTTATTAGAGACACTTAAAAAACTCTTTGAGTATCTGCATAGCTTCTAATACCGTATTTAATTCTAGGGCATCAGAATCACCCACCCAACATACGAATAAAATTAATAGATTAATAGAGTTCCTGTTTAAAAAAGTGAAAAGGAGGGAAGCAGCACAGTCTCCAGCCAGGCCATATGAGAACAGTATTAGTTTGGGGGCAAAAGTTGCTGTCTGGTAGCCAGCTACCCCAGAGCACAGTTATGTTCCTTCATCCAGCTTCTTGGTGATAGGAGCTGGACATCTGAAATACCACTTTGCAGGCTGAGGTGATGAGAGCTGAAGGGGAGGATCCCTGGTTTTCTCTGGAGCCCACGAGGATGGCAGACTTTAGCTGGTATTTGCATGAGTGCTTTGTTTAACCTTCACCCCCAGCACTTTCCTAGCTCTTGGTATGGTTACAGTTTCATGACTTTATGTGGGAGGGTTCCTCTTGTCTGGCCTTTTACCCAGTCCTGTGGCAGCTTTGTAAAGAGGAGGAGGAGGAACAAGTTAGTTGTTAGTCTGATCTTCCCACTTGTGACAAACAGCCAAAGGAGTTGTACAGTATCTGTTAGACGCCAGAACTGTTCTCAAGAGCAGAAGGGTGCATAATTCCTGTGTGTTTTATCTCCAGAAGGGAAGAATGCATTAAAAACCAGGTATATTGTTACTGCCCATCTAGTTAATGCCTTCTCTGTAATGTTACCAAGTACTTTCTCAGTGCTACAAAAATGCATAGGGAATTTAACCAGTGTTTAATAATCTAGCATCCTGGTTTGACACCGGCAAATACCAGCTGCTTTTGAGAAGCGTATCGTGGAGTAACTAACTTAAATATGACCAGTTAAATCTTTATATAGGTTAATTTCTGCCTTGAAATATAAAGTTTGGGCTTCTAATTTTCTTACAGTTCTCCAGTTTACAGATACATTAAAGTTATGCATAGAAATATTTAACCCTTAACTTCAAGGTCTTTTTTTTGGCTGTACAAAAGAAAAAAGGTGTGTTTTGTGCTCAGATGAGGACATTAGAACATGCAACAGAATTTGTTTTGTATGGGAAAAGCTATGTATGTTATACAAAAAAGAGGTTTGGAGGACATCTGTATAAATGCCTCTCAAATTCCTTATTGCATGAAGAACTCTAAAAACAAGAAAAATAAAATAATTAAAGAATGCTAGCAAACCTTATTGAAAATCAGATGGCATATGCTAAAAAACGTTGTGCATGTTCTAGCAGCACAGTTAAAATATTATCTGGCATATTGTTCCACTTTCACTACTCTTGCACAAAATTGTCCAAATGTTGCTTAATATACACCTCCCCCCCCGCCCTTGCCCATTGTAAGTGGGCTTTTTTTCTCTTTTGTTCTGTTATTTTTTCTCTCTTGCTAGTGATTGTGTGTGACAGTGCCCAGCTACCAATATCCTGAGTGATTTGGCAGGTGAATTGAGTAGTAATGTATAAGACAGGTAGAATAATTCACTTGAATATTAAGAAACATCATGTTTTTAGTTTTGGTTTTGCTCTTGTCTCCTTCAGACTTGCAGTGACTGTAATTATTTCTGGTCAGGTCATGTTTTCAAAATAACCAGTAGCCTGATGTTGATGGAAAGAGAGGAAGCTAAATCTCGTGTGATCTTCTTTTCATGCCTTGTTTGCTGGTTATTTCAAGTTTGTGACAGTTTTGAGATATATCAAATAACTGACCTGCTAAAACAGAAAGGGTTTGTTGGGTTTTTGTTTTGTTTTTTTTGTTTGGTTTGGTTTTTTTTTTTTTGCTTGGTTGTTGGAGATTGTTTTCCAACTTCATGAGTTTAAATGCACAGT